GGAAAGCAGAGAGAACCAGAGGGTTGCCTGAAGAGAAAGCTGAAGGCATGGGAGGCTGTGGAGGTGGCTCCCAGGGTGGTTGGTCTGGAGGACCAGGAGCAGGTAGGGGAAAGGAGAGCGTAGTAAAAGGAGATAGGGCGGCACCAGGTCTCATGGTCATATCCGATCCCGGCAATGCAGGTGCTGTTGAGACAAAGAAGGAGGGAATGGAGTAGGAGAAAAGGAGACCAGAAGTTAGGCCATCTGAATTCCCCTATAGACCATCAAGACTTAGAGCACCGATTCTCAACAGGTTAAAGAGGGAATATGGATAGGGAACTCGGAAACTTTGCAAATGTTCTACCAAGTGATTTTGATGTCCCTTACTCCCAGTTGACATCAAGACTTAGAGCACCGATTCTCAACAGGTTAAAGAGGGAATATGGATATGGAACTCGGAAACTTTGCAAATGTTCTACCAAGTGATTTTGATGTCCCTTACTCCCAGTTGAGAATTACTGCTTTAGAGAAGTTGCTTCCTTTTCACCAAGACATGCAGACCTGTGCCTGCCAAAAAGAGACAAGCCCAAGCCCTCACTGCCTCTAAGAGCTTCTCTAAGAAAATTCCTAGCAGACCTCTCCTGCCAGCCCATAGGCTGTTTACTAAGACATGGAATAGGAATGACACTTTATTTGCAGGGAAAACAGCCCATGGCAGGCTCAGTGCAGTAAAGGAACCAGTCCAGGATAAGGTCTGACCCCTCTCAAGGCACCCTCAGGGCCCTTGAGAAGGAGGCAGTTTCAAAAAGATTATTGGCCTATTCCCTCCTCCTTTTCCTTTTCCTGTTGCTCCTTATAAATTTCCTCTTTCCTAACCTAAAACAACAGAAGAAGAAAGATGCTATCTACAAGCAAGAGCAAAGACTCTAGGATCCATGAAGCTCATACCCAATGACACATCCCACCCAGAACACATGTACATCTCTATTCCCACCTACTCCAAACAAGAGTTTCAAATCACGTCAACCCTGTTCCCAGCTGCCCTATGGCCCATTCACAGAAGTTGCTGTTCCCAGGAGAAGGTACGTGGATTAGATGTTTGGTTTCCAGAAATTTTGTTATATAACAGTCAGGAGTAACTAGAGGGTTAGATAAGGACCAGGAAACGGCTGAGGAGAGGGCCGTGTGGGGTGAGAAGTTTCCAGAGCTTTAAGTAACTGCTGGACATATTAAAATTTGGCGATGCAGACTGTCCATGGTCCTTCTGCTTGCAGCTCCTAATAGACATTCCGAGCCCACTGGGAACAAGGCTCTGAGCCGGGTGTTAAGGAAAAGACAACGAAGTCAGGAACGGAGTTCCTTCTGAGGAGAAGCTAAGAAGCTATGTAGACTCTAGTCAAGGAGACCAAGGATAAAAGTACACAAGTGTACTTAATCAGGACTGTGTCTCCTAGGACTTTTAATAATGATAATAATAATAATAGAACATCATCCACCAAATTTCATGCTTCTCTCCTCCCCCTCATACAAAGAATATTCCGCTGGCAAACTAGCAACATTCAGTTTCTGTTTTCTGACCATGGAATATGAGTAAACGCGGATTCAAACTCATCTTAATCACAGAGTAGACTGCCTGAGGTATGCCATGAAGTACTGAACACAAGGAGATGGGGTCTGGAGGGCCAGTCTCACAAAAGGTGCATCTCAGGGAAGCCCCAGCTCTCATCCCAGCACAAGTGCCCCATCTCCCCTGGCCCTGAGGAATCAAGAAAAACTCCTTCCTGAACTGAAAGACAACCCACCTCTGGGAATGGAAGGGCCATGAGGCTCTGAGCAGAGGCAGTTAAGGCATTCCGGCCTAGTTTTCGGGAGGTCACTTCTCTACAACAGATAACCCTACTGAACAGTTTTCCAGCTAAGTTCTTCCCCACCCGCCTCCACCCACTCCTCTGTCCTACCCTCCCAGCCCCCACTCCGCATCACCACCTCCCCGCAATGCAGGCTCCTGTTGCCTAAAGAAGGCACCGGAACTTAGGCCTTCCCCTTGAACTCCGTGCCACTCCTCCTACATATACCTCTGTACCCCGCCCCCCAACACATGCTGAAGTGGTCCCTCTTCCAGAGAATCAAGTTGCTAGCTGCCATCCATTCTCTGTATTCAGCATGTTTCCTCTGAGATGTCTTGATCCACCTCCAAGGAAGCCCTCTTCCTTCCCCAACCCCCAGTCTTAATGGTACAACCTCCTTCCCCAGCCTCCCCAAGTGTGAGGCCTTTGGTGGGGTCTAGTGTCTCACATCCCTTTAGGTCAGCCCAAAGAGCTTGTCCCCAGATGAAGCATCAAATTTGAATCCCCAAGGATGTGAGCAGGTGGCAGGACACTCGCTACCACTTTCAGACTTACCTCCATCTGAAGCCATCCTCTCAGGCTTGGGCACTAACTGGGCTGTCTGGAAGCCTCCAGAATGGGTAGTCAGGTACAGGATCCAAAGAGCAACCTGGTTCCTATAGATACACAGGGGTCCAAGGAACGGAGGGTAAAGATTGGATCAAA